GATGTATAGATTTTCGCCATTACAGCTACTCTGTTGTTTCTAATCATGATTGTAGTCGTCCAGTCTCTCGCCTTCGAGAAATGGATTATCAAGGTTTCTTCCCAAGTCATTTCACAAGTCTACTCGAAGCGCTCGACAGTCTCCCAACCCTGAACCCACAGTTCCAGGTTCTAGCGCACAGGGTCCCCTACACCTTCAGACAAGCCAGGTATATACAATTCTTGGCGCGTTCCATCTGTGATCTAACCAGTAACGGCCGCAGGATCTTCCACCACCCACTATCCCTCCTGAACCAAATCCTGACCAGTCTTCCGATGTGGGCGTTGTAAACACAAGTTTGACTATCACAGTTCGTAATGTCCTTATCGTTCTTTCGATCACAGACTAAGTGCTCTTATCAGCCTGAACAACCTGACCTGAAGCTTGTTAAGGAAAAGCTTGCGAATGCCAAAGCACATCTCGGCGGCATCAAACATGTCTCAGGGATGGTGGAAAATACTGCTTCAGCATCCGACAACCTACAATCTGCTTCCGATACGATCGACACGTTTTCCCAAGTTCTCGCACCATTAAGAGTGTTTAACTCCGTTGTTACGGGGCTTGCGGACGTACGGGCATCTATCTCAATTTTTTATGCAGCTGATCTTTGTGCGTAGATCCATCCTTATGCGAAGGTGGCATTAAGTATTTTCACCTTCGCGTCCAAGGTGTGCTCAATTTTATATTCTTACACTTCGCAAGTCAATAAGACTATGTGGGCGACAGATGATTCTCGACCAGGCGGACCGAGATGCTGCTGTGTCCCGTCTACTCTCGAAGATTTCGGACATCTATGTTTTATTAATGGAAGGGGACAGATTGGCTAGGATTTCGTCCATGCTAGAGATTTATGGAAAGATTGCGCGACAGACGTTGGAGTGTGCTGACTTTGTCGTCCATTACTCGGATATGCAGAATTTTTGTGAGTCTTTTCATCACAATGCAATGTCGCCCAATATTCAGCTCTTTATAGGGCGAAGACTTGGCAAACATGTGTTGAGTGAAACGGAGGCCACGATGCAATGTTACAACGAGGTTCTCGATGACCTCATGCAACAATTCCGAGATCAAATGGCTCTCACCACCATCGAAACCGTCCACCGTATCGGTACGATTCAACTTCGAGTGATTTTTGACTCTTCTCTGAAGTATGATGCCCATGATTTAGCCGAGGACCTGGACGTCAGCGGCATGGAATACGTGCCTGGTGCTGGACGGAATACCTCTAAGAACTGTCTCTCAGGCACTCGGGAAGATATTCTATCCGAGATCAAGTGCTGGATCCGTAGCACGGGCGAAGACGTGCCACGCGTCTTGTGGTTGTCTGGCACGGCAGGGAAAGGCAAATCAGCCATCGCTCATACCATAGCCAACTGGTCTCATGAGCGCGGGGGAATGCGCGCTTGTTTCTGCTTCGACCGCACAAGGGTGGCCGAACACCGCCACGAAAAGATATTCACCACAATCGCACGCGACTTGGCTGATTGCGATATCACCATGCGGGGAGCATTGGCGCGTGCGGTTCATAACGACAACGAGCTCAAACACACTGTAGATGTCTCAAGACAATGGCAGGAGTTGGTCGTAAAACCAATCGACGAGGCCTCGAAAACAATCACTGCACCCGTACTGATAGTGATCGATGCATTGGACGAGAGCGGTGACGCTAAATCCCGGGAACAGATCCTCCGTCTAATTTCTGGCGATACGAGCACTTCTTCCTCACTTCCATCAAATTTCCGTATTATCGTCACTTCTCGTCCACTCGAAGACATTGCGGATGCCCTGAGAGTCACGCCACGTCACCGTCACATCTCCATGGATGAAATCCCGGTCGTATTCACACAACGTGACATCCAACTATACATCTCTGTCACGCTGAAAGGCCCACGCAACATATTCAACGATGGGCACTCCAAGATGCTTGCTGATAAATCTGATGGCTTATTTGAATGGGCTCGTCTCGCCTGCGAATACATCAAGGGTACGAACAAAGTAGGCGTGGATCCGGTGGGCCGTTACAAAGCTGTGATTGGTGGAACGTCTAGCTCTAAAGCAGCAACACATCTGCTGGATGATATGTACCAACGCATATTGACGGATATTATGCCCCTGGAGGACGAGGCAGCAATCACTATGTTTCGTTCGGTAATGGGGCAAATTGTTGCATCCCCTGAACCGCTCCCCATGACTGCGTTGACTGCGATGCGACTGCATTTTCCCCATGAAGAAGACCGTGTTCAAGTGGATTGGGTGATCGGGCCAATGGCCTCGCTTTTAACCGGGACTACAGATTTTCATACTCTCATTCGTCCCCTCCATGCATCGTTCTACGACTTCCTCACCGACAAATCACGGAGCCGTCACTTCTTCGTTGATACATCATCGGTACAGGCCGACCTCGCGTTTGCCTCGCTCGGGGTCATGGAGCGTGGGCTTCGCTTCAACATCTGCTCCTTGGAGAATTCGTACTTACCCAACTCTTCCGTCGCTGATTTGGAGAGACGAGTCAAGGACTCTATTCCGACTGAGCTATCATACTCATGTCGATTCTGGGGCACGCATGTTGGCTCCGCATCCTTCGAATCATCACTCGCTAATGAAGTGGAAGCTTTCTTCGATGGAGAGCGCCTCCTTTGGTGGTTGGAAGCTCTGGCTCTGATGAAAAGGCTAGGCAGCTCGGTAGTGACCCTATCATCTATTGCAGATTGGTTTTCGGTGCGTAGCTCAAGCCCATTTGTTGCCCAACGAATTCTTACGAGTGGGTGGTCGTAGGGTCATGCCGAATTTACGCACGTTAGTGAGGCTACCAGAGATACCCTGCGTTTCGTCCGAACTTTCGCAACCACCATTTTACGCAGCACTCCCCATTTATACTTGTCGGCTCTACCGTTCGCTCCAACCCAGTCGAGAATGTTTCGCAAGTTCGCCTCAAAGTTTCCTTGCACCCCCCGCATCGTCGCTGGCCATGTCGAAAATTGGCCTCAGATGGAGAAGATACTCCATGCGAATCACATGGTTTACTCAGTTGCACTGTCGCCAGATGGAAAACGCGTTGCGTGTGGTTTAGATGACGGAACGATCCAGGTGTGGGATATGGATACTGGCGAGGCATTGTGTACCCCCCTTCAAGGCCACACTGATTATGTTATGTCCGTTGCATTCTCGCCAGATGGACATCGCATCGTTTCAGGTTCGGATGACACAACAGTCCGGGTGTGGGATGCGAAGACTGGCGAGGCATTAGGATCTCCTCTCCAAGGCCACACTAACTGGGTTACGTCTGTCGCAATCTCGCCGGATGGTAAACGCATCGTGTCTGGTTCGTGGGACAAGACAATTCGGGTGTGGGACATGGAGGCTGGCGAGGCGTTTGGTGCCCCACTCCAAGGCCACACGGACATCGTTTACTCTGTCGCAATCTCACCGGATGGGAGACGCCTCGTGTCTGGGTCGTCAGACAAGACCATTCGGGTGTGGGATATGATGACCGGCGAGGCATCAAGCGCCTCTCTCCAAGGCCATGTTGGTCCTGTTCGGTCTGTCGCAATCTCGCCTGATGGCAAACGCATCGTGTCTGGGTCAGGAGACAAAACAATTCGGATGTGGGATATGGAGACCGGCGAGGCATTCGGTACCCCCCTCAAAGGCCACACTGACGCTGTTATGTCAGTCGCAATATTTTCGGATGGAAACTGCATCGTGTCTGGTTCAGATGACCAGACCATCCGAGCGTGGGATGTGAAGACTGGTGAGGTAGTAGGATCCCCTCTCCATGGCCACACTTCCAACGTTCTGTCTGTCGCAATCGCGCCGGATGGAAGTCACATAGTCTCTGGTTCGCCCGACAAGACGATTCGGGTGTGGAATGCCGACACCATTATGGGCAATGCATCAGTTGCCGCACTCGAAAGCCACGCTGATTCTGTCAACTCTGTTGCAATCTCGCCGGATGGATGCTCCATTGTGTCTGGTTCAGATGACAGGACGGTTCGGGTGTGGGATATAGAGACTGGCAAGGCACTGGTTGCCCCTCTCCAAGGGCACACAGAATCTGTTCTGTCAGTCGCAGTCTCATCGGATGGGAAGGGCATCGTGTCTGGTTCAGCGGACAAGAGCATCCGCATGTGGAATGCGGAAACCGGGAAGGCATCAGGTGTTTTCCAAGGTCACACTAACCATGTTTGGTCCGTCGCCATCTCGCCGGATAGACATTCTATCGTGTCTGGTTCATCCGACAGGACAATCCAGGTGTGGGATATTGAGACTGGCGAGGCACACTCTCTCAGTGGGCACTCTGACTGGGTTCGGTCTGTCGCAATTTCATCGGACGAAAATCGCATAGTATCCGGTTCGGATGACAAGACAATTCAGGTGTGGGATAGTATGGGGACTGGCAAGGCATCGAGTGCCCGTCTCCAAGGTCACACTAGTTGGGTCTTCTCCATTGCAATCTCGCAGGATGTATGTCGCATTGTATCTGGCTCACGAGACGACACTATCCGTGTGTGGGATATGGGGACTGGCGAGCAAGTGGGCTCCCCTCTCCGAGGACACACTGACTATATTAACACTGTTGCGATCTCCTCGGATGGTCATCGCATCGTGTCTGGCTCGAATGATTGGACCATCCGGGTGTGGGATATGAAGGCTGGCAAAGTAGTAGCCACTATTCGAGGGCACACTAAAGGCGTCATGTCTGTCGCAATCACATCTGATGGCAAACGCATCGTGTCTGGGTCACAAGACAAGACTATCCGGGTGTGGGATCTAGAATTTCTAATCCGGCAACACCAATCATTTGAAGCACCTATGATATGTTTCTCAACCGACGTGACTCATGCCCTTCATTCCGCCTCGTCATTTTTCCAAGATTCCAAGTCTAAAATCCCATCCCCATCCTCCGAGTCTGCGTTCGAATCTGAGACCCCAGTCCCTTACATCCCGAACGAGGAGGGATGGGTCATAGGTCCTGAAGGACGACTTCTCCTCTGGATCCCGCTCAATTTCCACCCGGCGGTGTATGCCCTAGGCAACACGCTGGTGATACCCAACAATGCCCTGCAGGTGGACTTGAGTCGTGTTGCACACGGCACATCATGGCACAAGTGTCGCGAACAGTAGCAGGCTGCGGATGTCCTTATGTCAATGGACTGGAGATTTATGCACATTCCATCGATTTCATATAATACCTGTTTACCATCTTGGATTTCATTCGTTCTGTTCTACTTAATGTTCTCGCTCTCAGAAAACGTTTATGAATGCACAGATTTTATTCACTATGCATGTTTACATACACTCATCCCGTCGGTACTGTACTATCTGGAATTACTTCCCCGAGGATAACTTGAAGGTGTACAAGGGACGTGAACTTGAAGCACCACTCGACATCGCCTCCGAGTTGTCTGAACAGATGGATCGCCGCAATGGACTTCCTCACCCCTCGAAGCCGTGTCCAACAGCATGGACCATGACCCCATCCAACTACTCAAACACCGCTCGACGAAAGATCACAGGCAGCTCAGGGGTAATTAGCTCGGCAGAGATGTAAACCAACTAAGCATTCTGTCGTTCTTCACGTCATTCTAATAGAGTAAAAGACAGTTCTTAGAACTTCGTCCTGAACAGGTTGGAAAGGAACAATTCGATGATCAAGTGGCCAGTCTGGCCGTCGGTTGCGATGATGGCATATTACAGTAGATTTGATCCATGAGTTGACATAGATGACAAGTTGTCGACCAGACTCTAGGCTCATGTCCTTAGCATCCTCTATGTTATCGTCAACATAAATTCATGCACTCAATCTCAAACACAAGCAGCGTCGCAGAGTTTACTAACTCATATGAATGATACCGCTATGATTTATGAAGTACGAGAGCATGCTAGCACAGTGGTAAAGCGCGCTATTCATTGTCTGAAAGATCCATGTCCATGTCGCTGTCATTTGAATCATCCTCTGTGGCAGTGATGAGTGCACAATATTGGGGGTGTACAGGCGGCGGAGGAAGTGAAGGTGGAGAAGGTGGCAGCGGAGGAGGGGTGGAAGGTGGTGGAGGTGGTTGGCACTCGATGTGCGATTGCAGCGAAGAAAATGCCCCAGGTAATCTCCAAGGAGGAACAAGTACATTCGCAGATTGAGTTCCGGATATTATTTGCTCCCAAAGAGCTCTTCTTTCTGCGGTAAAGGTATTACTGGTACGAGAAGTGGCGGTGTCCGATGATACTAATGTCGTTCCATTATAGACGGTGAGGTGGTCTGAGGAGAAATAATCATCGGGGTATGTTGCCCACCTACGGGGTGTCAATGAGCGGAGCCCCGAGTCAGAGCTGGCAGACAAAGTATCGTCGACAACCGGTGTTTCGTCCTCGCCTGATTTGATGTAAAAAGACGTTGCAAGACTTAGGTCGATCACCTCGTGGTCCTCTTCGCCACTAATTACGAGGAAGGAGTCATCGGCACCTTCAAGTGGATGACCGTGTATCAGAGTGTCGAAGTCTCCTAAAATTCGTTGGCGAACGGCATCCCTTGGATCGGTATCACTTATCCATCCTGTAGGATAGCCCCAATATGACATGTTGCATAGCCATGCACACTGATGACCTGAGTCTCCATGTTGCAAGCCCAAAGCTTCGCGCAAGGCGGGACCAACAACCTTTCCGGGCTGGAAAAATTCCAACCATTCAAGCCGTTGTTTTTTCCAAGCTTCAACAACATGAAATCTTCCCGGTTCCCTCGTTTCCCCATCAGAGCGCAAAAAATTGAAAAGTTGCCGCGACAGCGCGATGAGGGGACGATTATGCGGTTCGGGACAGGACCCAATGATGTGATCAGGTGAGCCGCAGTTGAAACAAAAGCGAACATCAAGGAATGTAGGGGATGGACTGCGGTTCTCGCCTAGGATACCGGAGACGTGCCTGTCATAAAAGCATAACTGCGGTGACAATTCTTGGAACCCAGCTGATCCAGAGGTATCGATGTAAAAGTTGCAGGCGACATTGGACCTGTAAGGACTACTCTCTAGACAACTTCCTCCTGAGCTTCCAGCGCCGCATTCCACTGCCTCATGGACTCGAGCACGGTGGAGGCATCCCAACGACCTTTCGCTATCTCCCTCCCATCCAGATGGAGCGCGGGAATCCAGTAGACGTATTTCTTCTTCCACCTTTCCTGGCCTTTATCCTGTATGTTGACTATTTCAAGATCGAATTGATACTACTCGTTTATCAGCTACTTGTATGTCGCATTTGAGTGTTGAGAACTTGTGACGTACTGACTGCCTGACTTTCGCTAATTCTAATTTTGCGACCTAGCGTAAATAATTAGAAAGTTTTATAAAGAACAAGAAAGATACTAACATCACAAAGGGAACAATTTGGGCCAGTAAAGAGAATGAGGCGGGCGAGTTGGGGGAGACGGGCAGCCATTGGAGGGTGATGGTATCTGGGGTCCGTTGTAATTCCTATTATGGGTTGTGGGGAATTTGTCTTGGTTCAATAACGGAAGCAAATGTTCTGTACACCGTCCGCGTCCGAGGTCATTCGATGAATCAGTGGAATGACAGTTCAGGATCCTCCATGGCGCCAGAGAAGTGTGTTCCTACGTTATTCTATGGATATACTTTGAATTTTTTTTTCTAGCGCGGCCGTGTCCGTTTTTCTCTCAAGGACGCTGTCTGTTCGCGGATTCGTGCAACTTCCTTCACGATATCAAAGTGAAGAGTCCTCTCAATCAGTCGCATTTTGACGTGCGCGTTGAGCAGCCTATCGAGCCCCGCGTTTTTTTTCCCTCTCAAGACCGTTCTTAACCCTCCTTCGGTCGTGGTTAACTCTGCGAGTCCACGCTCTACCCAACATGTCAGCCCGGTGGATGACACTTCTCGTTATTTCGGTTTACTTTCGGTTCTTCAAGATGTAATTGGCCCAACTACTCAGGAGGACGGTGAAACACTCACACCTCGACCTGTTGGCATGAACGATATTTTTTTGCAAAATTCCCAAGCAGAAACCGCCGTGGTTGGTTTCTCCCCGGACGCTTCTTCCATGGATATTTCTACGTTAATGGAAGAATCAGATTTATGTGATACCCAGGACTCTGTTGTTGAAGTGCCTCAAGATGTCGGGGAGATACAGGAGATACTCGCAGGTCATGATATCGACTCGGATGATTATAAAGAGGCTAGGGATATATGTCCCTCATATGTGGTGGATGATGAGGATGGGGCAGAAGAACAGGAACAGGATTCCAGAGAGGCCGGAGAAGATAACTCGCAATCTACTTCCATGACCGTCTTGCGGTTCCCCACTCCGCCTTCCAGGTTCTCTTCTACGAGTACTGCCAGCTCTGTCTTGTCGCTCCTTGCATGTCCTCATGACCTTACGGAGGAGCCCTTGAACAACCCGGGACAAGAAGCTTACAACAACCTTCTGTCCCCCGTCGAGCTTTCTGCACGCTTGCGACCTTTCTCAATGTACAGCTATAACTTTCCGCTAAAGCGGGAAGACTCTATCGACTCGGGCTATGCCGACAGTTGGACGGGACCGGCACTGCTAGCGCGTTCTCCACCTCATTCCACGCGCAATAGCATTGCATTCGATTTGATTCCCTTTCGCCGTGCTTCAGTATCTTTGTTACAAGATCGACGCGTGTCATACGATGTTCGCGGCGTTCGACCTCCCCCCTGCCAACCGGTGGTGGCCGAAGAGCATGACGATGACGCATCCTCGACTTTATCTATTTTAGATGCCTATGATCTTTCATCTGATCTCGACGAGGAGCCTCTCTCCACCACCGTCCGTCTCGCTGGGATGGGGTTAACACTTCCTTTAAGTCCTCCAGCAGAATCATCCTTTCCAAAACAGCCATCCGTTTTCATTTCCGAGAGTGCGCCCATTCATGATAGCACCTCAGAAGCATCATCACTTCAGCCTGATTCCGTGCCTGAGGATGACACTGGATGTGCGTTTTTCGATACTGACAGCCCTCTAAAGTCGCTGGTTTCTCCGCCTTCATCTGCGACTCGCCCGTCCTTTGTCAATGGGATTTTTCCATCTCAGGAAGCAGTGCTTGTCGGCATGAAATTTTCCAGTCTCCCGGCCTCTCCACTACCCGAACCCGCTGCGTGCGACGTTGATATCGTCAGCAGAGTCAATGATGTCATGGCACTCTCCTCGGTTTCCTCGTATCCGAGTGATACCGAGTTTATGGAGGGAGAATTGTCATCAAAGGTCTCGCTATTATCTGTGGGCCCTTTCCCGTCTGGCTGCTCGTCTCCGAATACGTCCATACTCTCCGTTGAGTGTGACTCCATGGTTGACGACATGACTCAAGAAACCGTTTTCTCTCACCCTGCCTCGCCACAGCAGAGTGGTTTTGCACCGGCGCAGTCCAATTCATCGTCGGTATGGGATGATGATAATATGGATCGATATGAACTTCATGGAAATCAACACCATACAAGCGACCCAACGGAAAGTCAAGAGTCGTCCATTGTTCACCCCAACGAGCGGCCAAGGATATCCCGTGAACTTCTAGCCCATATCGGGCATGTATTTTCCCTTTCCGACGACATACTAGTGCCTACAGGGGATGCTCTAGACACAACCGGAAGTGGTACAGGTGTCCAGACTGATGATCATGGTGATTCCTGGCATAATGCTCTGGATGCGGATGTGCGACAGGCTTTGCGCATGTCTTCAATGCCTCCTGTGGCGTTCTTATCTGATGATGCAGACTTCGATCACGACGAGGCCGGCGTGCGCACGTCTTGGGGTTCTCAATTGGGCGACTTTTCCATCAACCTTCGTCGTCGGAGTGGCGCAGAAAATGTCTTGTCCGTCGAGGAAGGTATGAGTGTTAGCCTTGTTGAACTTGACGAGAGCGATGCACTTTGTGGCCAATCGAGCACTGGAGGCCTCTTGGATGACATGGTATCTTTACCAGTGGCCTTGGAGACTCCTGCCGAGCAAGCCATCGGAACTTATGACATAGATGCATTCCTACTTCAGGAAAAACGGGATATCCAGACAGCTCATTTTCACGACCAATCACTAGTTGACACCAATACTGTCAACGACTCCTCAGCTGCGACTTTCAGCTCCGCAGATGCTCCATCGATCATTGAATTTGTACAGAGGAGTCGTGCTATCTCAGATGCCACCGTGAAACCTGATTCACGGTCTCCGGGTGTTCCTTGCTTTTCTCCGTCACCCATGGCCCTCACCCCGGCTAACCTTGTCGACAGTAATTTGGACGAACATGCAGACTTCCCGCAAGCACTTGACGATCGAAACGTGGATGCACACTTGCCAAGTATGGAGGCTATTGACGTGGAACTAGCCCATGAGACGGGGGAATCTCCGAATCTACATCCGGCATCTGTTCTTGAATCAACAATACATGATCATGAGGAGAAACAGTCTTCCATGTTAGTCAGGATGGGGTCCCCTGCGACACTTAGAGCTCCATTGAATCTGACAATACGCATTCCATCGACCATTGAAGCTCAGCCATCCTCATCGTCTACTGCTCAGAGTCTACCACTCATTCTATCTCTCTCGAATGGACGTGATACGAAGCGATGGTTCTCCTCCCATACAGACGGGTTTTCGTCTGCAGCAAATAGTCCCTCTCTCTCCGCTCCAGTAATATCAAATCTTCCGTCGCGCGAAGCAGGGAGCACAAAGGTGGCGTTGGGTTTTCGACGTTTCAATCCACAGGTAAGCTTCTGAAGCGACATTGTCTGATTGTTACTCATGCCCCTGTAGTTTGTAGCCAGAAGGCCATTGCAGCGTACTCAGCCCTCTCCTGTTTCACATGTCTTTCATCCAGCAGCGAGACGAGAGAGTAACGCCGCCAGTGCGAACGCTGCCCCGCAGCAGCTCGACTTCTTCCCACCGAACCTACCATCGTCCGATCGGCTCCTATCTCCCATTGAACTGCAACAAGAACCATCTGCTACTGGATTAAAACCTCTCAAGCTGGTGAGTCGTCAATTAACAGTAATTCATGTACATCGTCACTCAAGTTCTCCTTCAGTCTAGTTTGCTTAATCCGAGGTCGTCTGTATCATCGTCCTCGTCCATCATGTCTAATATATTATCCGGTCACTATTTCGAATTCCTTTTCGGTGATTGCAGTACTCATCCTTGAATATAGATCATATCTTCAACTCGTCTTCACCTCATTCGCCCAATGTATCGTCTAGTACTTCGCTATCGTATAATTCACTGGTGCGTAAGCTAATAATGTTTTTGCACTTGGTACCAGTCTGATTTCTGTGGGCAGCTGCCTTCACCATGTTCAAGCATTCCCGAGCATATTCCCGAGCATATTCATAACACCCTCACACCCGTTCACGTTACTCCATCATTGTTTGCATTTACTCCTGCACCTTCGTCTCCTGTTCATCCTGCGCAGAGGGAATGTCAGTCGCACTCTGCACCAGTTCAACAGGCTCCATCTTGGCGCCTTTCGCGTTATCGAGGAGACTCTCATGATGTTAATCGGCCGCTCCACCCCTCGACACGTCGACTGTCAACTCTTAGTTTGACATACGACGATGAAGAGGAAGATACCGATAAATACAATCGCACGATTCGTCGTTCCGTCTCCGGCCTTCCTCCACGATCCTCGTCCGTTCTAGAAGCTCCAGTTCATGCAATAGCGACGCCAAAGCCGACTCTCTTGTTTGCCATTGCGAGCGATGATGTCAATGAAGTACGACAGGTGCTCGAGAGCGGCGAAGCTGGACCAAACGACCAAGTTGGTCCTCAGTCCGCCCTGGCCTTTACTTTGACAAACGACAAGCTGTCGCACAAGAATGAGATTGTCAAGGCCTTGTTAGCCTATGGCGCAGATCCATCGGCGTTGCGGAATCCAAAATTGAATCCATCTGCACAAGCATCACCGGAGGAAAGTGAAGGTGGTTCAGGCTCACATTCACAGCCTGGAGAGACGATGCCAGAAGGAATGGACCCTGCTACGAGGTACGTAGTGCCTTTCAATATTTCATCACTGTTTGCTAATTCGATTCTTAGATACTATGTGACCAGAGCCGATTCGACACACACTCGACAAACATCTCAGCTTATATATCGGTCATTCTTCCGACCCCTCACAAGAGTTCGATATGATCTCATTGGTCAAGACTGGGTGTTAGAACAACTCTTTAGGGTGTTGAGTATGCACTCTCAACGGTTGTCAGTAGCTCCGATCGTGGTTCTGCTTTGCGGTATGTTCTCCAGCTAAGCACAAGGTGCATTGTTATACCTCCCCTAGGTCCGAGTGGTCATGGGAAGAGCTTACTGGCCCGCAAATGTCTGTAACTCATCTTCACGAGTTACACCTCCAACTTACTGTTTTTTTTTGCAGTTGGAAGTCTCTTGGATATTCCTACCCATACCGTTAACATGACCACCTTGCGCTCCACGCACGATCTATGGCAATCGTACTCTATGAGTCCATATGAGGTTTGTCATGTTTTCTTTGTCGATGGAATACACCTTAATAAATACTTCCGTGAAGGAACCTTCCTCGGATACTTTGGCCCAATTTCTGCTTAACAACGAAGGCGAGCGATGTGTGGTCGTGCTAGACGTACGTTCCTCTCAACCTTGTTCCGCAAAATTCACTCATTTCTACCTTAGGAGATCGAAAAGGTAGAAGATCCAAAGGCGCTATATTCTCTTCTCATGCCTTGGGAGCTTGGTGAGTGCATATAACATTATGATTACGACAATGTTTTACTCTTTTAAAGGCCGGTGTTCCCTTGAAGTGGGAAAGCGACATGTTGATCTCACGAAAGTGATTTGGCTTGGAACGTCCAATATAGGCCATAACTTTGTATTTGAGCACTGTGATTCCCGACCAGATCCAAGTAAACCCATCACTCGAGAAGAGTACCGAGATCTCATGGATCTTTCAAGACCTCATGTCTCGCAATGCCTCGGAGTGAGTGCTCGAACTGGTCAATTCCTTTACGGACTCCCTGATGCTGTCTCTTCCAGGCATCACTTTTGTCTCGCGTTACCACCGTGTTGCCTTTTATTCCGTTCACCTTGGAAGAAAAAATGGCAATCGCCGCTGAAGCGGTATACACTCTCACTTGCAACGCTGAGAAGACCCTGACTCCTCAAGATGTGGAGGCAATTGTGATGAAAGCGCTGCCAAGTTATGTTCCATCGGAGGGAGCTCGCTCGTTACACAGAGCTGTGTCGAACCAATTGGTGGATATGATCTAGTCTCTGCGCTTCCTCGATATTCCTGTGATTTATGGTACTTAATATTGTATTGTTGCATCTTTGCATACACGGTATATCTTTCCGTTTGTCTATTCAGGTCTGCCAAGTGAGTGCGATGAAACAAGTAACAACCTATGTGATAGCGAGGAGCGAAATTGGAATTCACTAAAGATCTCCTGACAATCAGTATCTACGTAGTACTATGTAATGACTGTCGAAAGCTCTGCCCATCGCAACGACCATGGATGCGCTCAACCGTGTCAACATATACTACATTCCAGGCAGCGAAAACATTACTCGTGAGAAACAGTTAGAACGACGGTAAGATAGAAGTACTTTGTACAATCGAAGATCCGACACACTGAGACAAATCGTACAATACGTGAATACTAGTAGAACGACTCACAAAAAAACAGACAGCTAATGATACACTAGTGCCAAAAGAAAACATTACAAGCCTTGGACGTGTTTGTTCTTTTCGCCGCATTCACGAATGGACTCGCTCAGGGAGTGGGTCCAAACGCGACTGCAGCGCAAGCTGCCATACATGCCTCAAGTGCTGTATTGCAAGCTATAATAGCGGGAGGGGCTGCAGGTGGTGCGACGCCGAATGTAAAACCGGCTGCAGAGTAGCATGCAACAGCGATGCCGTTGCAGCCTGCTCAGAAAGTTGAGACAGCTGTACACGACAGTCGTGCTCGTCAACCTTACCGGTTTGACAGATGGCGTATCCGATTGGGCCTGCGACTGCGGGCCCAGCTGTTGCAGCGAGGAGGAGGATAGTACTAATCGATTTAAGCTTCATCTTGTGGGTCGACGGGAGACTCGATTGAATGAGATGATGGTGAAAAAGAACCTATTGCGGTGTAGCTCGATGCCACTAAGGCAGAGTTGAATTGAAGAGCGAGAGGTCAGGAGAGAGTACCCCTATGGAGGCCAATTTCAAAAAAGGGCGACACCCCTGTCACGTCGCTGAAGCGGATTCCGGAGTCGGGCGCTCAGCTTAAACATGTACAAATAAATAAAGGTTCCATCTCGAGATAATATGCTATTAATAGTTCAAGCTTAACGGGCGCTTCCAACGTTCATCATTAATAATAACCCTCATCGCAGACATGCAGGCGCCAGTCCATCCTATTTGCTACCACCACGCCTCCCACTTACATTGCACCAAAATACGCACATCCAAACACCCATCTTTCTCACTTACTAGATGGATGACAACAATCATCCTCGCAAGAAACGCTGGGGGCGGGCGAAGCCAAGTCATTCAGACCATCATTTGGTAGAGGAGAGAGGCAGGATGACAGCCAGTCCCGATGTATGAACTTTTATATTAGCATTTACATCATACCTAATCATTACAGCCGTCCTCTCTCTCGCCTTCGAGGAATGGGTCTCGTGAAAGACGTTCAGGGTCAGTTTTCAAGCTCTTTGGCAAGGTGACCAAGCGCTTCGCTCGAAGCGCTCGACAACCCCAGGACACCCAGCCAGTTCAGTCAACTAAGGTAAGCGTAATCTAAGCTCTGAATGTGCCCAGTGTGCTATGATTAGTAATAATCGCTTCTGCAGGACCTCACCCCTCCCACTCTCGAACCAGATTGCGAGCAGTCTTCCAATTCAGGGATTGTAGAAGTAAGCTCGACTAACGAAGTTCGGAATATCCTCATCGGTCTGTTTCGACAATGTGCTGACACCTACACTCAGGTCGAACATCTCGACCCGAAATTTGTGCGCGAAAGAATCGCCAATGCTAACAAAGGTCTCGCAGGCGCCAGCCAGGTCCCAAGAATACTCCAAAATGCTTCTTCCGCGACCAACAACCTACCATCTACTTCTGATACAATCGATACGTTCTCCGCGTTGATCAAACCCTTGAAGGCATTCAACTCCATCGCCAGCACGATTGCGAATGTACAAACCATCTATGTCTCTTCTGTATGTGACTAACATTCGTGCGCAGGTCCATCCCTACGCGAAGGTGGCACTGAGCATCTTCACTTGCGCATCCAATGTAGGCCTCTTTCTCAATCATCGCCGTTGCAGGTTGACAAAGTTTTGGTAACAGATGATTCTCGATCAAGCAGACCGCGATGTCGCTGTTTCTCTTCTCCTCTCAAAGATATCTGAAGTCTATACTTTTATCACGGAGGAGAAAGAATTGGCTAAGATTCAGTCCATGCTAGCGATATATGGGAAGATAGCACAGCAGACGCTGGAGTGTGCTGATTTCATCAGCCATTACTCTGAGACGAAGAGCGCCTGTGAGTCGATCCCACTGCTTCGTTCTCCCAAGCTCAATGTTACTTGTTCGTATAGGGATAAGACTCGGCAAGCACGTTTTCGATGAAACGGACGTCACGATCCAGAACTATAACAATGTCCTCGACAGTCTCATGCAGCAATTCCGAGACCGGGCGGCTCGTGATACCGTTGTGATCGTCCACCATATGGGTATGAGTCAGTTTTCAGGTCTCTTTGCGCCTCATCTGACATTCCACGATCCCTGGCATAGCTGAGAGTTTGGACCTCGTAGGCATGGAGTACGCAACGGGCGCAGGATTAAATACGTCTAAATGTTGTTTGCCAAATACTCGGCAAGACCTTCTGAAGGATATTCAGAACTGGATCAGCAGCACTGAGGAGGGTGCTCCGCGCATCTTGTGGTTGTCTGGTACAGCAGGCAAGGGTAAATCAGCTGTCGCCCACACAATAGCCGATTGGTACATCGAACATGGTGGTCTCAGCTCATGCTTCTGCTTCGACCGTACTCGGCAAGCGGATCGCCGTCAAGACAAAATATTCACGACCATCGCAAGCGAATTGGCGGACTGCAACCCTATCGTGCGGCGAGCCTTGGCGCAGGCGGTTCGTGATCACAATAGACTCAAGCGGACTCCAGATATCACAAAACAATGACAGGAACTCATTATCGGTCCCACAAGCATAGCCTCAAAAGCCATCGCTGCACCCGTCCTGATTGTCATCGAGGCATTGGATGAGAGCGGCGAGGCTAATTCCCGAGAACAGATTCTTCGTCTACTCGCTGGCAAATTAAACACTTCCGCTTCACGACTATCCGAACTCCCAGCCAACTTCCGCATTCTCCTCACTTCCCGTCCCCTCGAAGATATTCACAACACTCTGCACGCTGCGCCACATGTTCGCCATATTTCCCTGGATGACATCTCGTCTGCGTCCACAGAACTCGACATCGAACTTTATATCTCCCACAAGCTAGAAGATCTGCGTCACATTTTCAACGATGCCCACTTCAAGGCGCTAGCTCTGAAATCTGATGGCCTGTTTGAATGGGCTCGTCTCGCCTCAGAATATATCAAGAGCACGAACATCGTGAGCCGAGGCCCGATGCGCCGTTTCCACGACATTTCTGAAACATCTGCCAAAGGCGTACATCTTCTGGATGAGATGTACCAACGCATCTTGGCAGATATCATGCCGAAGCACATGCATGAGGAGGCGATTCCTATCTTTCGGTCCGTCATGGGTCAAATTCTTGCATCGTCGGAACCACTTCCCATCAATGTGTTGAACACGATGCGACGGTGTTTCCCATGTGATGATGACCGCTACGACGTAAAGTTGCTCATGGGGCATCTTGGCTCGCTTGTCTCCGGCACCTCAGATTCCGATATTCCCATACGTCCCCTTCACGCATCATTCTACGACTTCCTCACAGACGAATCGCGGAGCCATGACTTCTTTGTTGATGCATCAGCGGCACATAGAGATTTTGCCTTCGCCTCGCTTCGGGTCATGGACTCGGAGCGCGGGCTTCGCTTCAACATCTGCTCCTTAGAGAATTCGTACTTGCCCAACTCTTCCGTCCCTGATTTGGAGAAACGAGTGAAAGAATCCATTCCGGCTGAGCTATCATACTCATGTCGGTTTTGGGGGACTCATGTCGGCTCTACATCTTTCGAATCACCGCTCGCTAAGGAAGTTGAGGCTTTCTTCGATGGAGAGCGCCTTCTTTGGTGGCTGGAAGCACTGGCTCTGATGAGAAGCCTCGGTGGCTCGGCAGTGACCCTCTCATGTATTGCATATTGGTTTTCGGTGCGTAGCTCAAGCTCATTCTTTTCCCAACAACTTCTTACGAGTAGTGGGGTGGTTGTAGGGTCATGCCGAGTTTACGCATGTTAGTGACGCTATCAGGGATACCCTGCGTTTCGTCCGCACCTTCGCACCCACCATTTTACGCAGCACTTCCCATTTATACCTGTCCGCTCTACCATTCGCTCCAACGCAGTCGAGAATATTTCGCAAATTCGCCGCAAAGTTTCCTCACACCCCTCGCGTTGTCGCTGGCCATGTCGAAATTTGGCCTCCGATGGAAAAGATAATCCATGCGAATGACGATGTTTGGTCGGTTGCAATGTCACCCGACAGAAAACGTATTGCATGTGGTTTATACGATAGAACGATCCAGGTGTGGGATACAGAGACTGGCGAGGCATTGTGTGCCCCTCTTCAAGGCCACACTAGCATTGTTACGTCTGTCGCATTCTCACCGGATGGACATCGCATCGTTTCAGGTTCAGCGGACAAGACAGTCCGGGTGTGGGATGTAGCAACCGGCAAGGCCTTAGGTACCCTCGAAGGCCACACTGGCTGGGTTCGTTCCGTCGCAATCTCGTTGGATGGAAATCGCATAGTATCGGGCTCAGATGACAACGATCAGAGTATGGGATATGGAGACTAGGGAGGCAGTGGGCACCCCTCTCGAAGGTCATTCTAAATGGGTTCGGTCTGTTGCGATCTCGCCAAATGGGCACCATATTGTCTCTGGTTCAGATGACAGGACGATCCGAGTGTGGGATATGAAGACTGGCCAGGGAGTGGGTACTCCTCTCCAAGGTCACACCGGCTATGTTTTGTCTGTTGCAATCTTACCGGATGGGAAATGCATCGCGTCCGGTTCACGAGACAGAACGATTCGGGTGTGGGATATGGAGACTGGCGAGGCATTGGGTGCCCCTCTCTGAGGGCACACAGACTCTGTTGTTTCTGTTGTATTCTCGCCGAACGAAAATTGTATTGTGTCTGGTTCATACGACCAGACGATCCGAGTGTGGGATGCGAAGACTGGCATGGCATTAGGATTCCCTCTTCAAGGCCACACTGCCTGGATTCAGTCTGTTGCAGTCTCGTCAGATGGAAGTCGCATAGTCTCTGGTTCAGACGACAAGACGATTCGGGTATGGGATACCGACACTATTACGGGCAAGGCATCAGTCGCTACCTTTCAAAGTCACACTGGCTCCATTAACTCTGTTGCAATCTCCCCAGATGGACATCGCATCGTGTCCGGTTCTGATGACAACACAGTTCGAGTGTGGGATATAGAGACTGGCAAGGCACTAGTTGCGCCTCTCAAAGGGCACACCGAATCTGTTCAGTCAGTTACAATCTCGTCGGACGGAAAGTGCATTGTGTCTGGTTCAGCTGATGAGAGCATTCGTGTGTGGGATATTGAGACTGGCGAGGTTTTGGGTGCGCCTCTCCAAGGTCACACTGGTGCGGTCTACTCTGCTGCAATCTCGCCAGATGGACATCGCATCGTTTCAGGTTCGGGGGACAACACAGTCCGGGTGTGGGATGTAGCGACCGGCAAGGCATTTGGTGCTCCTCTCAAAGGTCACATTGACTGGGTTCAGTCTGTCGCAATCTGGCTGGATGGAATTCGCATGGTATCTGGTTCACTTGACGGGACAATCAGGGTGTGGGATATGGAGACTGGCGAGGCGGTGGGCGATCCTCTCGAAGGACATTATGACTGGGTTCAGTCTGTCGCAGTGTCGCCGGATGCAAAATTTGTTGTGTCTGGTTCAAATGACACAACTATCCGTGTGTGGGATATAGGGACTGGCAAGACATTGGGCACCCCTCTCCGAGGGCACACGGACTATGTCCGCGCTGTCGCGATCTCAAGAAATGGGCATCACATTGTGTCTGGTTCAGATGACAAGACGATCCGGGTGTGGGATATGAAGACTGGCCAGGGAGTGGGTCCCACTTTCCAAGGGCACACCGGAAGCGTTCGGTCTGTGGCAATCTCACTCGATGGCAAGCGCATTGTATCTGGTTCAGAAGACAAGACCATCCGTGTGTGGGATATAGAATTCCTTAACCAGCCCCACCTTTCCAAAGCGCCTGCAATATGCTTTTCATCTAACCTATCCTACGCTCTTCATTCCGCCTCATCCTTTCTCCAAGATTCTTCGACCCCAGTCTCTGTTGCTGCGAATGAGGATGGTTGGGTTGTAGGTCCTGACAGACGGCTTCTTCTCTGGATCCCACGCAATTTCCACCCGATGATGTATGTTCCAGGAAACATGCTGGTGATACACGATCATGTCTCGCAGTTCGATTTGAGTCGTCTTGCGCATGGCACGTCTTGGCACACGTGTCGGGAACAGGAGGCTGCTTTGTCTTCGTTATGATACCCTTGTATGTTGCGCACGCACTACACATGATTCGTACCGCACTTGTTTGTCGTCAGGGCTTATTCAGTTCACTTCGTTACATACCAGTCGAATTTCGCTAAGGTCACGAACGTGTTATCCGATTTAGAGACTGAGTCTTGATCTCCGGTCACACAATAGCACCAGAAGTTTCATCTCTTCGCTTGATCACATCGTTCCAATGTCCATTGATGACGGTCTCCACGGCGTATACGTAGGCAGACCCTTGAATCAAAGGAAGACAGTCGTGCATAGCCCCGACCCCGAGCGCGTCCTGTCGTGTCACGGTGGCACTGCGAGGCTATGCGAGATTCATGTGATCGAACATTTCAGGAAGAACAGTTTGCATGAAGCCCAATGTTTCCAGTTGGTTCCGAACTACATGAGCCGGCCGTATTACTAGTCCTTGACTTCGGGTCTGATTTTTTTCTGCGTTGAATTGAAGTTGGCACCTCACGAGTGCTACACGTCCATATCTTCTCACATCAATCAGTGACACTCCTGAAGCGCTTTATATGTCCAGGGTCCAGGGATGATGATTATCCTCAGCGCTTTTAATCCGGCGGTGCAAAGATTGTTGCTAAGGGCTAATTATGTATGACAGACGTGACTTCAAGAGTCCGTGGCCACTTAGATTCATTCATCTTTCCTCCAGAACATACTTCCTTCTTTTCCTTCGTCTTCTCCATGACATACTCTATGCGTCTCGTTCAGCGGGAAGGGCGCAGGATCGCCCGTTTTCTGCAACGGCGCGATTCTAGCGCTAGCGCTGTCTCTACATCTTCCGCACCTTCACCTACTACTATCCCTGAAGGACCTGAATGGGCACTTCCACCGACAACAACGCCTGTAGCCACTTCAAAGAGTTTCCCTGTTTCAAGTCAAACCCTTATCGCACTTTCAATCCTTGTGTTTATCGCCCTTGGTATGTGATGCTCTATCCCAATGATGTCATGTGGGCTTTACATCTATCAGGAATCGCGTTCTGGCGCATACGAGTGCTGAGAAGGAAATCCATCAAGGGCGACGCTGACGTTGCGGATAGGGGAGATGTAGAACGACAGAAAGACAAATGGCTTGCACCGTCTACAACTACTCCCCTAGCTCTTGACACTGTCGCGGCACCTGCTGGTGTTGGCTGGGCACCACAGTTTCGCTCGATTAGCGGTCCTGAGTATGTAAGAGAAGCTGCCAAAGAATCCAAGCCACTTCCTCCCAAACGATCACGTTCTCCACCGCCGTCTCTCGTTTCTATACCATCTCAAGATCCCTTTGCTGACCCCAGACCTAAGTCTGCTCCTCCAAGGTCACCCGGGACTCGTGAGGTGGATCGCGCCATTAACATTTCCTCCCCGTCGACTCCTCAGCCCTATGCTCTCTCTGTAAGTGGATATCAGGTTAGAGGTCTCTGGACGAAGGAAAAGGGAACACGGGATTGGGATGTTTGAATTACTGCAACTTTTGGATAACTATGATGATTCAGGACGACTGCTTATGATGTCAACTGCACACTTAACGGAATGCCACTACAGTCCACTAGCTACATTTGGCTTCGCGTTGGTTCTAGGTATTCCACTTTTTAACGTCTTTTCGGAGATATTTGAAACCCCATTGCATAGGTTTGATGCGTATTCCGCTCCTTTTTGCGTAACCCTTAATTTATTCGATGGTCAGTAACTCGTTTACGGAGCAACAAAACTCGTCGGGACTGAGAGGTGAGGATGAAGCAATGGTAAATCTGTCAGTTACTATTGAAACACGATTTACCAAATACACTGTCAATTATGGAGGGTAAGGTGCAAAGTTACTCAGCAATCTTAGGACACGAACATCTCATTCCTCCGCAAATCGTGCTTTCCGTCTAAACCTAGCTTGGTCACGCAACCACTGTACGAAATAGTAAATTTATTGTAGGGGAGGCTAAGAAGCATACGCACTTGTCGATATTGGTGGAGAGATCCAATCTTTTCACCTGTGGTACCGCGGGCATAAAACACGTTTCGCATTCACAATCCGAGCATCAGTACTTACCATAGAAATCTGGCACAGGGTTCGTGGCACTTTGAGCTGTGGGATCTACGCGATTCTTCACTATGTGTCGGTGAAATTCCCGGTCTTTAGCTTCTATGAGGTTCATTGTGCGACGGTGGGTCATTCTCCAGCCTGCAGCCCCGATACTAGGGCCAATGAGATATCCGAGTCCTAGGCTGAATTAATTAAGGTCACCTTGACATAAACAGAACGTCTCACCCATGCATGAGACCGTGCAACCGCTGTAGAAAAACAACGGATCTATCCCCTGGTTCTATGAGAAAGAAATACAAGCATATAACAATGTATTACACACCATGATAGGCTTCGTTGCGTCTGACTCTAGAGAACCAAAGTATGCAAGTCCTCCCACCAACCCGAGAATACATGCCGGAATGGTAACGGCCTGTCATGCGTTCATAGCCTATGAGAAAACGCAAACATAAATTCCAGCTAGAGTATCTCACAGTTTCCCATTTTCGTTTACTTTTGCGAATCTCTAGATATTTTGACCAGGACAAGTTCTGTTGTTCTGCCTCGGAGACTGCTGTGGTTGAGTTATGTCTGATGTTCAAGACTGCCCGACGGCATATCCGTGACGGCACGAGGCGCACTTCATGACGGCTGACCCTTGCAAGAGGCACTGACATTATGAGAAACGGATGGAGTTGTCCTCTTTTCCTCATTTCAACCAAGCCTGCCAGCAACAAAATACCAAGAAAGGAATATCATTCCCACACCTACCAGGAATTGTTATCTCCGGCGTCAGTGCGGCTAGTGACTTCAAGTTGTACTACAGCAAGTCTGTCTCAGCAATCATTCCACTGACCGTCATCACCATCACCTCTGTCTGAGGACAGCCTGAATACATGGACGGAGTGAGATCCTGTCTACTGTGCTGTCAGGCATGTGTAGGAGATGGCGTGGACAACGAGCACGACAAATCGAACCCCTTTGCCCTCGATAATCTGTTATCTGCGGGAACTATCAGTGTAGATGTTCAAGGCCGCCATCTGCACTGCGCTCATAGTCACGAAAGTGACACATGGCATCCAGTACCATCGCAACAGCTGCCTGTTTGTGTAGAGGATGATGTATTTTGTAAGATCTCTTTTCTGACTGAACATCGATTTCTGCGTGCTACCTGTCGTCTTGGAACGAGCCAACGAGTGTTATACATTCGAATATACCTGGTACCTACCGATTCTCCAATTGTCAAAGAAAGCCTACGATATCGTACCGAAGTTATTTTGAAAGAGGGTCACCGTCACCTTCAGGCCTTACTACCTTCGATTGTACAGGACCAACGTTCCTGGAATGCAGATGAGCCCTCCTCAATCACTCAGCCCCAAAACTATTTCTTGCCAAGGGATATTGTAAGCACTTCCTGCACTGTGATCGGTCTCTAGTAGCTGCATATTTCATCACACAGGATAATCGCACAATGGCGGAGATCTATAATGACCTGCCGTCGTTGGTCTCTTCAACAATTGCTGTAAGACACGAAATTGGGGGTCTTCGCAGTACTTTGTATGAATACCAGAGACAGTCCGTGGCCGTGATGATCGAGAAGGAGTTGAGCAACCAGCCTGTTCAAGACCCTTTATACATCCCGATCTCAAATATGCATGGCGAACGCTTTTACTTCCAGCCTTCAACCCTTACCGCTGCGCGTGAATGCCCAACAGTTGCTCGGTGTAAGGGTGGCATCTTATGCGAAGAACTAGGTAAGTGTCAGATTATTCTCGACTCCTCGACTCATATATGGCCGCCCATAGGCACGGGAAAGACGGTGATGGTCTTGGGCTTGATCCTTGCTACCATCAATCAACTATCTCAACCAGAAGAATCACTATTGGACTACCGCCCCGTCATGTCTCCCTTGGCCTATCGCACCTTCCCTGCAGATGAGTACCATAATGCTCGAAGAAGGGCTGGCATGCATAAAAGTTTGGCGCTCGATGTAACACGTGTTCCATCTCTCGTTGAAATTCTTCTTCACCGTATAAGGACGTGGGGTGACAAGGTGGACACGCGATCACACGAAGAACAATTAGAGGCGTCTAACCTCTGGCAGCTCCTTCAAGCAAATACGCCATTCTATCACCACTACACTGTTAAATCACCCATGCATGGTCTTGGTTCTTCTCGCACAAGACGTCGAGTCTCAGAATACCCCCGACTAATGCACCTAACGACAGCAACACTTGTTGTTGTGCCCGTTAATCTACTTGGACAATGGGACAGGGAAATTTTGAAACATTGCCATAGCACGTTGAGATATCTTGTCGTCCAACAAACAACGAAAATTCCAAGTGCGAAGGCTTTGGCGTCTGATTATGACGTACGTAGCATTGTATCTGCACCGACACTGCATTGCTAATTTGTAAATACGCAAGTTGATCATTATGACGGATAGTCGTGCGTTTCGATACTTCATATGCTTTTTCAGTGCTTATGTATTACCTTCAGGTTTTCGTAGGGAGTCGGTGAACAACAAAGTTGTTCATTTGCATAAACTTAAACCATGCACTTGTGCTCCGTTTACTGGCAGCCGCGTACCAAACTGTCGTTGTCCCAGCGATCCAGCTGTATCACCTCTTCTTCAAATCCGCTGGAAGAGGCTAGTGATCGATGAAGGCCATACCTCAGGAAACTCAGCCGCCACATTGAATTACTTCGTTCGTGAGCTAAGCATCGAGCGTAAATGGATTGTAACTGGAACGCCGACATCGAATATACTAGGGTTGAGCTTGGGGCGCAAGCAGGATGAGGACATAGAAAATGATATTGGCGTTGACAGCACTTACTCATTACCTACTATGACGGATTGCTCTGCATCCGATACCTCTTCAATTTCTGATAGCAGCGCGGAGAACATAGTCAGGGTATGGGGGACGTATGACTACGTCAACTTGCGAAAACTCGGGGCAATGATCAGCGATTTTCTCGCCGTTCCCCAGTTCCATTCTGATCTCAAGTTGTTCGGTAGTCACGTCTCTGCACCTCTTTGTGATCGTCACGGGCCTCGCGTGGGCGCAGTCAAAGTACTGAGTCAGGTCATGCAGATGGTCATGGTTCGTCACAGGTTAGCCACATTGTATACTGCTAGAGACTATAAGGCTTATCTTACCCAGGATTGAAGACGTTGAGGAAGAAGTAGTTCTACCTCCCATGCGGCATACACCCATCTACATGGATCTCGATGCCTACGCTGCGAAGTCTTACAATGCAATGCAAGCCAGTATTGCAATTAACGCTATTGACTCTGAACGCGAGGGCCAGGTGCGTGTCTCGTCATGTATCTGAAATTTCACTCATATCGCTTGAAGGATTACATCTTCCACCCCAGGGTGAAAAACACTCAAATTATCCGCACGATTTGAATATTGACTCTGATTTTACACTAGAACGCGAAAAGTCTTCAGAATGCCATAGACAACTTGTCACAGTAAGTTCTTGGGCCTAGAGGAACTAATAACTGAAATCAAGATCAAACTTAGAGGAATGTTCTGGTCGGTGTCCGATATTTTGTTCAACGTCGATCAAATACGACGCGAGGCCCCTAAATTTCTGGCTCGTGCCATCGAAGCCAAAGTGCCTGATCATGATATGGCGCTATTAGAAGAAGCATTAACACACGCGTTAGTCTACTCTCCTTGTCATTGTATACTTGATACTTAGTGACGTCTCACAGAGAGGCAACAGCGAAAGATCCTCTGTGGCGCGCTATGCAGCTACATGAAGATGTACCTTTCCGCGTGATGGGGATGGATGCAGCTGTCTTCGAAGCTTGGACACGGGGAAGGTTGAAGGACAGGTCTCGTGTTCACGATCTCATGCACGCGAACCGACTGTGTGATCTACGAGCTCTCATTCGCAATCGACCTTTGATGAGTCTAGGTCAATTGGTCGAGGAAGGAAGAGAATTGGATTCAAATGAACGAGCACGATGCGAGAAGAAATTGACGCAAATTCATGATGTCACAAACGCAGCGCAAATGAAAAAGATGGTGTCTGACGTTAAGGACGAGTTGGAGGTCATAAAGGAGAAAGAGAAAGTTTATCAAACAGAGGATGTACCTGAAACAGATATCGATGTCTTTGTTCGCCACAAGTTGGGGCATCATTCTGCTCCTTCGCCATCCGATCTACTCCGCTCGTCGCTATTGTCAGAAACATATATCGGGCCATCTCTATCCACCAAATTGAACTTCATCTTATCCGAGGTTAGTACACAGTACTATCGTGTGTCACCCACCTCCCACCTTTCTTTCTAGGTTCTGGAGCATTCAGAGAAGGAAAAATTCCTCATATTCTCTAATTCGCCACTCACTCTCGCCCACATCGCAGAGGCACTCTCTTTGATCGAAATCAAGTACCTCCGATATGCAACAGATATGTCTCCACCACTGCGAGAGCAATGTGTCATGACTTTTGAGTCCTCTGAGACATTCCGTGTTTTCCTAATGGAGTTGAAGCTTGGTGCTCGTGGTCTGTGAGTATATCTTATTTGCATTCACTTTTGTGGTTCCCAATATTTGACAGGAATTTGATATCTGCTTCTCGAGTAATCTTCTGCGAGCCTGTCTGGCACCCTGATGTTGAGGCACAAGCCATAAAGGTAAGATCTTGTCTCAGATTAGATAATCGTTGCTCAAAGAGTTGGCAGCGAGCGCACCGTATTGGACAGACAAAACCAATTACTGGTAGGTCAATTCTTTCTGAATGATGGTTAATGGTTTTGTTCATCGCATCAATATACTTAGTGAAGACTCTTGTAATCAGACACACTGCAGAAGAAGCAATGGTCTCCAGACGACATTTTCTGAAGGGATCTAGCAAAATTCCAAGGATGACTACTGAAGTGGGGATGCGTCATTTCCTAGAGGTACGTGCAATTTAGTCATAATTGGTCATTGAATCACTCATAAGGACCTTTCTTAGAACCCTCACTTTTTGGCTGTTCCAACAGAACCAGAGTGTTTTTCTTCCTCAATACAGATATCCTTGCTAATGCATGTAGACCCTCAAAGACAAGAGCTCACATCTACCCACACCTCAGAAGATTTGGTCGCATCATCAGCCCCAAATTTCGATGTTATCAATACTAGTAATCAGCCAGATAATACAGCAGACCGGGCTTTGAAACGACCTCGAACAGTTAGGTTTGCGGATTGATACTAAGGCTTATCTTGTAGCTAAAGACACAGTCCACGATGTATTGCACTGTGGTTATCACATGTTGTTTCTTGAGGAAAGGCTTCCACCGACATTCTTCTCATCAACCCTTCGATTTTTGTTTCTTTGTTTTAATCCCATTAATTGCATTACCCATATTCACTGTGGGAAGTAAAAACACTGGAAATCCGTGTTTTAAATACTGAAAGTCAGGGTCCAAAACACTGACTTTCACGGTTTTGTATCTTTGAATCGCAGTCAACATCAGAACCAGAAGATAAGATGTGCAAAATTTCAGTGTTTAGAACAGTGAAAGTGACATTTTTCAGTGTTTTCAACGCTGAAATCGGATTAACAACAAAGATCGTGATACTCCTCGAAACACTGAAAAACACCATTTGCGATGCTGACAATTATGAATAGGATTACAATAGACTAATTTGAGAGTGATACATGACGCATGGGCAGTCAAAAAAGGTAACTAGCT